TTGATAAACTGTCTACATTTCAGAAAATGCTGCTGGTGGAAGGAATTCCAGATCTCACAGTTTTTTTCTGGCATCAGACCTAGGGAGTGATTGTGTCATTAATGCGGGGCACTGGAGTTTTCTGTGGAAAAAAACTGCAATTTTGGAAACAATAAAAAGGCTTGGTTGCGGGGAGGGGAATGGCTCCAATTTGCTTGGTTAATTGACTAAAAGATGGATCTAAAGGACACATATACTGAATGAATTTGAAATTCAAGAGGAAGGCACCCCAAAGCTTAGAGAGAGTGTGATGGTCATGTGAATTTATGTAAGAGTTTCTCAGCTATACTCTGACTACATCCCCTCAGAAGCTTCAAAGACATGTCCTTCACCAAGGCCAAGAGAAACGCATTTGTGAGGGAAACCCAATATTCTCTTTTTTTTTTTTACCTTTTTTTTTTTTAATGTGGACCATTATTAAAGGATTGAATTGGTTGCAATATTGCTTCTATTTTATGTTTCGGTTTTGGCTCCAAGGCATTTGGGATCTTAGCTCCCCAAACAGTGATTGAATCCACATCTCCTCCTTTGGAAGGTAAAGGTGAAATCTTACCCACTGGACTGCCAGGAAGTCCCAGAAACCCAGCATTCTTAAAACAGCTTCATTAAGGCTATTCTCTATAGGCTAAAAATAACAGTGGGACCAATTTCCATTAAGTTGGGCAATCTGCATTCAGTGAGAATAATAGGATCATGATGAAACAGACCAGAGCCTTATGGCCTACTCCCCCTTGTCCTCTGATGCCTTTTGTCTGCAGAAAAGTTTTAGCCAAAAAGGTTAAGTTTAATCAAAGAAGTGAGAAAAAGCAGAAGCAAAGGGGAAAAAGTCAAACAGGACAAAATAATAATAGTTTAGTCATTAAGCAAAGTCAAGGACTTTTAGTTCTTCCTGAAGGGTGATAGATGATTCTGAACCATATCCTGTGAGCCGTTTTGTAGATACGGAAACCCCAAACAAGTGGAAGAAGTTCACTACATCATGACCAGACTGTAGCCATGACATAAGCTGCCACAATTCTGAGAAATGGTCTCAGAGAAATAGGAACAAACCAACCCTGGAACTGAAAACTAATTATACCTTCAACAGTCAAGATGATGCTAATCAGACCACCTCATGACCAATTTTGAGATGACTGTCAGAGCTAGTTGTACTAGCCTCCCTCTGCCTATACATCCTTGTATCACTTCTTTAAAGGTCTTGCCCACTGGCTGACAGTGGGGGGAGTTGGTATTTGGACATGAGTCCACCCACCACAGCCCTTTGCCATTTCTAGCCTCCAAACTAAAGCAAACTTTGCTTTTCACAAACCTTGCCTCTTTGTTGACTTTAGAGTGGTGAGCAGCTGGACCCACTTCTGGTAACAATGTGTTGGTAAATGCTGATTCAGGTCAGAATTCTGTTTACTCTTGCTTGTAGAGACCAAATAAAATTTGACTGGACTGCCTATCATTTTTTTTGCTTTAAGGACAAAATCATCAGCTAACCAGTGCCAAAGATCTCTATGGATCAAACCATTCTGATTATGGCTTTGACTCAGCTTCCCATCATGGTAGCCATTCCCACTTATCCTCTAGACTGAAGACAGGAAAAAAAAAAAAAAATCTCACTTAAAAATAATGTTTGTTGCCAGGTACTATAAAAAAAATTAGTTTGACACTAACTCAGAATAAAATGCTAAACAGGTACTATAGAAAAAATGAACAAACAAACTTAAAGGTCAAAAGAGAAAACCAGTGATTTCTAGTAGCTAATCTAGGTTCATTACTAGTAATCCATACAAAAGTGGCCTCATTTGTCCCTGAAATGAGATTATTAAATGAGAAAAAAGTTATATATATTGTATATATTTGATCATAAACTTCATGTAAATAAATAGTATAATAAAGAATACCTGGATTTCATTAATAAACAGTACATTGGCAAATGGAGAACATTCTAACTTTTATTGGTCAACCTATATTTGAACTGCCATGTCAGTGTTGAATGTAATATTTTATTTGCTTACTATTTTTATTTTTTATATTTTTTACTTATTTACTTGGAGGTATCAGCTCTTAGTTGCAGCACATGGGATCTTTGTTTTATTTCTTTTTTATTGAAGGATAATTGCTTTACAGTATTGTGTTGGCTTCTGCCATATATCAACATAAGTCAGCCATAGGTATACATATATCTGCTCCCTCTTGAAACTTCCTCTCACCTCATACCCTATTCCACCCCTCTAGGCTGTCACAGGGCACCAGGTTGAGTTCCCTGTGTCATGCAGTAACTCCCCATTAGCTATCTATTTTACATATGGTACTGTATATATTTCAATGCTACTCTTGGGACACACAGGGTCTTTGTTGCATCACGTGGAATCTTTTGATTCCACGCAGGCTCAGTTGTTATGGCATGCAGTCTTAGTTACCCTGTGGTTTGTGGGATCTTAGTTCCCCAACCAGGGATTGAACCCAAGACCCCTCCATTGTCAGGCAGATTCTTAACCACTGGACCACCAGGAAAGTCCCAAAATACAATATCTCAAAACAAATGTTAACCAAACATAATTGTTTACAAACAAGAGAGGAATTCAATAAGGGCTCTGGATAATCCAACAGATGAAGAACAGTTGTGGTAACTAGAGGGTTTTGTGTCAAAAAGCAAAAGTAAAACTACTTTGTTGGGACAGCACCAGTTAGCTGCCTTTATTTGAAGTGTTGCCATATGAAATAGGAAACTGATTTACTTGGGATAACTTCAAAGGAAGATCAAGGACCAAATAGGTAAATTTCCAGAGGGGAAGATTTGTATATAATACATAGAAACATCTTCAACTCAGTACAGTCACTTGGCAGTAGAATGTGCTGCTGTGGGAAGCAATGGACTTTCTGTCTGGCAACGCCTTTGCATAAGCTGAGTCTGCTTCTGCTGTGTGTTTCAGTTGAGTACATTCCTGCAATAGGTAGGAAACTAGATGACCTTTAGGTCCCTTCTAATCTCAGTTTCAATAATTCCATAAAGAGTGAGCAGGGAATCTAAAAGGAAGGAAAAGCAGTTTCTGAGATGTGGTAGTCATTGTGGACAGGGCATGAGACAAGGTGGTGATTCAGATAAATTGATCTCAACATATCCTCTATCCATAATGTAGCACCATGATTTCTCATATCTACTTGAAACATGAGAGCTAATTAATTGGACATTTTGTTTTCTCACCTCAAATTAGGATACATCTGCTTAAAGGACAACTGTGATACACCGATTTAGATGATATGCCTTTCCCTGGGTATGGGGATATGTGGAAAGAGCAGTGGCTAGGAGCAGGAAACTGGAAGTTTTAGAGTTTAACCCCAGGATTGCTCCAAACTCACCATCTGCTTTCTGAGCAATTTCTTTCAAATTCCATTTAGCTTTCACTGAAAAGGAGATTTGTGAGATGTTTACTAAGAACTTTTAAAAACTGAGTGTAAGATAGCTCTTCAGATACAAGATCTAGGCTCAGAAGCAACCTGATGACTTCGCCTCTCATATTTCACATGGCAGGCCTGAAATGAAATAGAGCTAATTTTTTTTTTTTTTTGGTCTTGACTTTTGAGGCTAAAGGGAGGATTTTGGAGAAGATATCATAATTCATCCCTGTGATTATAGAATTATCTGAAGAAGTGGCTACATTGGAGTGGAGTAAGGTAAGAATTGATCAAATCTCAGTCACTCCCGAGGCCTTAAACTGAGTTTTTTGTTAGCGTCTGAGGATGCAATGTCTGCAGAGAATCAGGAGGCCTGGCCCCCCGACTGCCTTCAGAGCACGTTGTGGGAGGTGTAGACCAAAGGTGAGTTTACACATCAATGACTAAAGTTTCCTGCCACTAAGCATAAGAAGTCACTCATGAGCAGCGTCCCTAAACCACAGCTACAGGATGTGGGCACAAGCCCTTGTATAATTGTTGGCCAAGAGCCAATGAGCATTCATCCCTGTGCAAATACTTGGGCTTTTTTGTTGTTGTTAACCTTTGAAAACCACAGGCATTAGTCTCTCTCTTTCTTCCCCTTTGGCACAAGTCATCTTCTCTTCTCCACCTTGGTCTCTTGTGTGTAAAGAATTTCTGGGGGAGCTTTAAAGCCTGAATTTAATACGTTTGCCCTCCCCTCTCTTGCCCCACAAAATGCCAAGCAGAGGTAAAGCTGCCTTACAAAATATCTGCTGGCTTCCGCAGTTTTGTTTGGGCTTTTTAATCAGATAGGACATCAGAGAGCTCCAGGAGTGACCTTAGCCTTTTAAGAAAATACAACTAATTTCTGGAAATTCCCCCTAAACAACGGTGACCTATTGTTTTCTCATGTCAGAATTAACTCAGAAGCTATGAGACACTGATTTAGATGGCATACCTTTTTCTGGGAATGGAGATATGCAGAAGGACAGTGGGGCTGGAATCGGAGACTGAAAGCTTTAGAGTTTAATTCCATATTGCCATAAAGTCACCATCTGTTTTTGAGCAATTTATTTCCAATTTCTAGGCTTTTGCTTCATGTTCTGTGAACTGAAATCATTGGATTAGATGGTTTCTATGCTTCCTTAACCCCAGGACTCTATGAATTGGCTTCCTTAGTAATGCTTCAGCAAAGGGACAATGAGAGGAGGGCTCAAAGCAAAAGATCCTCATAAATTGGCTTCTCTTTTCTGCCTTAGAGATGGCCAAGGGTCAGCCTCCAAAAAAGCCCAAGTGCCCACTGGAAGCCCAGGTGTGATTCTTGGCAGTTTCTCTTTTTGTAAGTGTTAAAGAATGCATCAGTTTTGCTTCTATAACCCCAGTTCCCCATACTCAGGCATGGAAACAAGTTAAGTCTACTCCAGCATGGGAATTCTATTTTTAAATAAAAGAGATGGCAGATCACTTTTACTTAAAAGAGACAGAAGGAGAAATTTCTAACCATCAAAACTGCCCAAGATATATCAGAAGACTATGAACAATCTGCCTATTGTTCAAATAGTTTCTGAATCTCCATTCAGATTTACTGGAGATTTTTTAGTGGAATTTCTTGAATGGATAAAGAACAGATAGAGAAGATGGCCAATCATGACATTTTTATGATGATATGCTTTATACTTAATGCCCCTTGTATCTAATCTTATTCCTATGTTGTCCCTTTGGGAAACTTTACTGGTATAGTTCAGATAATAGCCTGAAGGAAAAGCCCAGGGATACATATAGGTCTCTTGGTTTGTGGGTTGTGGCTGGTTGTCCAGCTTATGGACAAGAAACCCAACTGTCCCCTGGGAATACCACATGGCAAATGGTAAAGAGATAGTAAGTTCATGCATGTGTGCGTGCTAAGTCACTTCAGTAGTGTCTGATTCTTATGACTCTTTGGACTGTAGTGTACCAGGGTCCTCTGTCCATGGGATTCTCCAGGCAAGAATACCGGACTGGATTGCCATGCCCTCCTCCAGGTGATCTTCCCCACCCAGAGATCAAACCCACATGTCTTATGTCTCCTGCATTGACAGGTGTGTTCCTCACCATTAGTGCCACATAGGAAGCCCCAGCAGGCCCATAGTGACCGGAAAAACAATTCCCAGAAGAACTGAATTTAGTTCCCTTGGATGTTGTCTGAGGTTCTGCACCAAAGTGGCATTGCTTTACAGGCAGATACTCAATGATTTTTATCTAATAAAATAATTTGACTTCATTTCATTGAATCCTTCCAAGATCTTTATGAGGTAGGCAAAAGAGATAGCATCATTTCCATTTTACAGGTGAGGAAATTAAACCTTAGGAAATTTAAGGTAATTTTCCAGGGTCTCACATGACTGATTCAACTCTTTCCAGAGAAAAAAGGGTGTTTTACCTAACGACTGGGGCTTCCCTGGTGGCCCAGATGGTAAAGAATCTGCCTGCAATACAGGAGACATTGGTTTGATCCTTGGATTGGAAAGATTCCCTGGAGAAGGGAATGGCTACCCACTCCAGTATTCTTGACTGGAGAATTCCATGGACAGAGGAGCCTGGCAGGCTACAGTCCAGAGAGTTACAGAGTCAGATGTGACTGAGCAACTAACACTACTTAATGATTAACAACAATTATTTAAAGAATTATAAGGTCTCTGGTTTTAAAAGATTTTATCAATCATCTCTTTAGCAATCCCTTTCACTTTAATCCCTCCTAGTACATGTCAAAGAGCAATGCTTCCATCCTTGGGCATTTTTAAGTATAAGAAGTTCTTTCTTATCTTAAACTGCCATCCAAATCCCTGAATCCTCTTATCCTCTGGTCATAATCCTGCTTTCTAGGTCCCACTTATCAGTTTCTAGAATATCCCACAAGATGGTCTGTATGAAATATGAAGACAGCTCTCATGTCATCTCTGAGATCACTCTTCTCACACTAAACAGCTTTGGTACCCTATTGTTATAGACTGGACCTCAGGGTTAAGAGACATCACCCTTCTCTCATCTTTTCTGATTTGTACTACATCCTTTCAAAGGTCATTTGGGAACAATCCAACTTAGAAAATTCAAAGGGAATGAATGTGCAGAAAGAAGTCAATTGTCAGACTGATCCTTAAATGGTAAATAAAGAGAATGTGCTGGACCTTTCATAGACTCTGCCAGCAAATGCCACTATCTTGAGGCAAATGGGGATTTTCTGGCAGCACTGTTAGTAATAATTTGCCAATTGTGCCTGCTTCAGAACCACTGCCAAAGCAATCCAACGACTTTTCATTCCACTACTGTTGACAGGACAGCTAAGGATTTCAACATTTCCTTTTACAGTCTGAATAGAAGTTTCCTGCCTTGGGGACTGTAACAATATTTGCCATCATGAGGGGGGAAAAAAAATGTGGGTCCTGGGAAGTGGAAAGAGAGGGAGAGATGTACTAATGGAAGTAAACAAGATAAAGACAAAATCAAACGAGAGTTATTCAAGGTTTGGATTTTGAATGTCTCCATCAAATTGATGTTTGTGAAACATCAGAGGACAAATCTTTGCAATTGAGGAAGTAAGCAGGTTGAGAAAAGACTTTAAAGTTAGGCTTCATATAAACATCCTTTACCCCCAAAAAGCTGGAATTTTTAAATTGAATACCAGCCAAGGTGTCTCAACTTTGGGTCTTAGGACAGACAAAAAGCTGATTATGTTAATAATAATGTTTATAGAGTTCAGTATTAAAAGTCTTTTTTTGAAAATAATTTAAAAATACAATAAAATTGAAAAAAAACTTTAGAGATGAAAACAGATGAGATAATCTCCTGAGTTGTTTACAATTAGACATAAGTCAAGGAGAGACAAAGAGGAAATACAAGAGAAAAGAAAATGTAAACAGAATGAATTACAACAGTGTTTTTGATAAACATGCTTCTTATCCCCTCTAGAATCCATAGACATTCCACAGAGGGCACTTGTAAGACCCAAAAGACAGGAGGTCAGTGGCATTCCCCTCTCTGTCTCAATCACAGTGGTCTTTCTTCTTCCTGTTTTACATATTGGGCATCTGAAACAGATTCATTGGAAGGAAAGATCTGCTATTGAAAAATAAAACATATGAACACGCAATCAAAAAGGATAAAAAAAACAGCAAAAAGGAAATGAGTCACTGAAACTTCTTGATCAGGGAACTATATGATCACATTGTGCTTTTGGAATCTGGCAACAAATGCAAAATGAATTAGAAGACGCTCAGCCTTGGAAATGATACCAACTAAAAGGTTATAGCCATTATCCACCTAAACAGAATTTAAAATGTTATCTAATAATATACCTGCAAGAATGAAAAGGAGAAGAAGTATATGAAAAATTTTGAAACAATAAACTTTAGTTTGACAGCTGGGTGTTGGGCTTAATACTAAATATGGTCTGTTTGTGCCATCCCCCTAAAGTTATATGTTGAAATCCCAATGTGATGCTATTAAGAGTTGGGGCCTTAGCTTATAAGAGCAGAGCCCACATGAATGAGATTCTGTTGTTGATGTTCATTCACTTAGTCATGTTCAACTCTTAAACCCCACGAACTGCAGCACACCAGGCTCCCCTGTCCTTCACTATTTCCTAGAGTTTGCTCAGATTCATGTCCATTGAGTCAGTGACAATATCTAACCATCACATCCTCTGCCGACACCTTCTCCTTTTGCCTTCAACCTTTCCCAGCATCAGGATTGTTGCCCTTATAAAATAAGCACAAGAGAACTCTCTTGCCTCTTTGCCTAAAAGGATATAGCAAGAAATCTGAACCCCAGGAAAGGGCCCACACCTGACCAGGTTGGTACCCTAATCTCAGAATTCCAACCTTCAGAACTGTAAGAAATAAATTTATGTTGTTTATTAGCCACCCAGTCTGTAGTATATTTGTTATAGCAACCCAGACAGACTAAATGAGATACAATATGGAATGTATTTTGCAAGAAGATTAAAGACATCAAAATTGATAACTGTGACTATTAAAATCTCATAGAGAAATCCAAAATTTTGAAGATGTTGAATATAAGTGGCTACTAATATAGATGATCAGCAGACAGAAATGCAAAACTGAATCTTAAAGAAATACCAGGGATGGGACTATGGCTTTGGAAGTCATCCTCATAAAAAGGAAACTGAAATAATACAGATTGAGATCCCAATGAGAGAGAAGATCAGTATCCAAGGGCTGAAAATAAAGACCCAGAACATGCCCACATTTGGAGGACTGAGAAACAAGAACCCAGAGGGTCTGCCCTGAGTTTATGATCAGGTATTTACTTGATAATGTTATTCAATATACTTAGGTGAATTTATTTTCTGATTTTAAGAAGTTTCATAAAAGATCTGAAGTGTGCATTTATCAGTCTAATCAAGCTTTTTGATCTCCTAAGATACTAAATATTTAAAGTCATGTGATACTATTTAAAAGTAGCTGATTGTTTCAGTCTAAAAATATGGTGAGCTGAAACAGAATCTTCAATAATGATGTAGCTATGGATGATGTATTTATCCATTGAAAGGAGTGTCAAAAACCAATACTCCCCCGAGCAAGGGAATAGCCAAGTTTGTTTCGGTTTCCAATGAATGACATTAGCCCAGTGTAGGTCTCAATCAAAATGGGTTCAGTGAGCACCGTCAATCCCTCTCCTCTTCCAGATCCAGTGGAATTCTTGTGGGTGTTCTGGATAGCTGGAACAAGCTTCGATGTGAACCCAGACAACTGAAGAGGAAAAGACACAGAATTAGTGAGTGCAAAGTAGGCCCAGAGACACGCTCCCCAGCCAATCCTCACAAAAGTTGACTACTCTCCTGGAACTGCACTTATTCTTACTACTTAAACAGAAATCATTTCTTGGAATTGTTAATATTGCTTCCATTGGTCTTTTAAAAGATTGATCTGTTAATAAATTTTGTACATAATAAAATTAACTGCGGCATCTTATTTATTTTTCATTATTGATAACTTGTACAACATTAAGAAGTCAGTTTAACAAATATTTACTGATAGTCTAGTTTGGATCAGATACCTGTCATGTACTACTGAAGATTCAGACAAGTGAGATATAGCCTCTGCCCTCACAGCCTGTGAGCGCCAAGTCACTTCAGTTGTGTCTGACTCTTTGTGAGCCTGTGGACTGTAGCCCTCCAGGCTTCTCCACCCATGGGATTCTCCAGGCAAGAATACTGGAGTGGGTTGCCATGCCCTCCTCCAGGAGATCTTCTTGACCCAGGGATCGAAACTGCGACTCTCACATCTCCTACATTGGCAGGTGGGTTCTTTCTTTTTTGCCACTTTATCTATCTTTTAATTGAAGGATAATTGCTTCATAGAATTTTGTTGTTTTCTGTCAAACATCAACAAGAATCAGCCATATAGGTACAGCCATTGCTGATCTCTCCCAAACCCCCCTCTCATTCCCCTCCCCATCCCACCCTTCTGGATAGTCACAGAGCCCCTGTTTGAGTCCCCTGAGCCATACAGCAAATTCCCACTGGCTGTCTATTTCACACATGGTAATGTAAGTTTCCATGTTACTCTCTCCATACATCTCACCCTCTTCCCCCCACCCCCGGGCCCATAAGTCCGTTCTCTCTGTCTGTTTCTCCATTGCTGCCCTGCAAATAAAGTAATCAGTATCCTCTTTCTAGATTCCATATATATGTGTCAGTATATAATATTTATATTTCTCTTTCTGACTTACTTTACTCTGTATAATAGGTTCTAGGTTTGTACACCTCATTGGAATGACTCACACATGTTCCTTTTTGTGGCTGAATAACATTCCATTGTATATATGTACCACAGCTTATTTATCCATTCGTCTGTTGATGGATAGGTGAACGTACTTATATGCAGAGTACATCATGAGAAACGCTGGATTGGATGAAGCACAAGCTGGAATCAAGATTGCTGGGAGAAATATCAATAGCTTCAGATATGCCGATGACACCACCCTTATGGCAGAAAGCAAAGAACTAAAGAGCCTCTTGATGAAAGTGAAAGAGGAGAGTGAAAAAGTTGGCTTAAAGCTCAACATTCAGAAAACTAAGATCATGGCATCCAGCCCCATCACTTCATGGCAAATAGATGGGAAAACAGTGCAAACAGTGGCAGACTTTATTTTGGGGGGCTCCAAAATCACTGCGGATGGTGACTGCAGCCATGAAATTAAAAGATGCTTACTCCTTGGCAGGAAAGTTATGACCCACCTAGACAGCATATTAAAAAGCAGAGACATTACTTTGCCAACAAAGGTCCGTCTAGTCAAGGCTATGGTTTTTCCAGTAGTCAGGGATGGATGTGAGAATTGGACTATAAGGAAAGCTGAGAGCTGAAGAATTGATGCTTTTGAACTGTGGTGTTGGAGAAGACTCTTGAGAGTCCCTTGGACTGCAAGGAGATCCAACCAGTCCATCCTAAAGGAGATCAGTCCTGAGTGTTCATTGGAAGGACTGATGTTGAAGCTGAAACTCCAATATTTTGGACACCTGATCCAAAGAGCTGATTCATTTGAAAAGACCCTGATGCTGGGAAAGGTTGAAGGTGGGAGGAGAAGGGGACAACAGGGGATGAGATGGCTGGATGGCATCACTGACTCAATGGACATGAGTTTGGGTAAACTCTGGGAATTGGTGATGGACAGGGAGGCCGGGTATGCTGCATGCAGTCCATGGGGTCGCAAACAGTTGGATACAACTGAGCGACTGAACTGAGCTGCACTGAACTGTCAGTGGACATCTAGGTTGCTTCCATATTCTAGTTATTGTAAATAGTGCTGCAATGAACATTGGGGTACATGTATCTTTTTCAATTTTGGTTTCCTCAGGATATATGCCTGGGAGTGGGAGTGCTGGTGTGTAAGGTGGTTTTATTCCTAGTTTTTTTAAGGAATCTCCATACTATCTTCCAAATCGGCTGTATCAGTTTGGTGGGTGGGTTATTTACCGCTGAGCCATTGGAGAAGCCCACACAGCAGTGACACTATCATAATATAAAAAAATGAACTTTTAATGATCATACAAAGTCCATGAAAATAAACAGCAAGAACTGGCACAAGATATTAAAGAAAAACAAACGAAATCATATATGGTTAGAGGATCAAAAATGACTTCCAAAGGAGACATTTGAGGCAGTCCTCCAAGGGTTAATAGGGTTTCAGCAAGTGAAATGAGGTTAAAGACAGTCTAGCTGACTGCTGCTTTTCTTTCTAACCCAGCATCCCTCTCTCCAGTTGAGATTCCTCTTCCAATAAGAGTGCCCCAGGGCTTCCCTGATGGTACAGCAGATATGAATCTGCCTGCCAATGCAAGAGACACAGATTTTATCCCTGATCCAGGAAGATCATGTATGCCACAGAACAACTAAACTCATGCACCACAACTATTGACCCTCTGCTCTAGAGCCCAGGAGTCACAGCTACTGAAGACTTCACACCTACAGCTAGTGTTCCACAGCGCAAGCTATCTAACCCCCTTCTCCTTTCCTTCTCGTTGCACAGAAGCCACTGCAGTAAGAAGCCTGCCCACCGCAACTAGAGAATAGCCCCCACTTCCCACAACTAGATAAAAGCCTGCACAGCAACGAAGATCCAGCACAGCCAATAAATAATTAATTTTTAAAAGATTAAAAAAGAATGCCTCTATTTTCCTTTGGAGAGCCGCATTCTTCCACTTAGTGCAAATGGCATAAGTGGAGCTGGCTTTAGTACATGATTCAGTTCTAACCAATCAGAGGAACCCATAGGAGATTGGTTCAGGTATGGGCACATGACCAATGCGGCTGTGAAACATATCATCCAGGTCCAGAGGTATTCATGGTCATTTTGACCACACAGTGAGAGCCTGACTTAGACTGAAAACAATAAAAGGAGAGAACTAAGACATGAAGCCAGAGAAATTTTTCACAAAACCATCCGAGTTACTAAATCAGCCTACCCTGACCTTTAAGTTAAATGAGTAAAAAATTTTTTTAAAAATGAAAAAAAATCATTCTTTTGGTCAAATCAGGTTGAACTGGGTTGAGAGGAGGGTAATTCAGGGAGCACTGCAAACAGAGATATAAAGAAGGAAACAAATTAGGAAAGCCCAGATCTTTGTATTTCTAATTAGCTCATTTATATCCATTAACTCATTCCAGTATAAGCCACTCAGGTAAGTAAAAGAAGGTATCATTATTTCCATATTAGAAATCAAGGCTCAGAGAAAGCAAATGACTTGTTCAGAGTCACTCCATTTTCTGCACAATGGTAAAGAATATTAGGAACAAGGGACTAGTCACAGTGAGATCTAAATATGCTTTCTAGGTAACTGGCTTACAAGTCTAAATTAAAACTTTCGGAGTATATTCCAATATCCATCTAAATTATTATGCATATTCAACCAAGTGACCAATGTTTTCCCTTTTCTCCATGAGGAGGGCCAATCTTTGCTTTGAGGGACTAATACAGAGTGATGATTCGATGAAGAAAGAGAAGCCTGCAGTTGTTACCCATAATCACATTTTTATCCTGGACTGTTAATTTTATACCAAATTGCCCTTGGGCAAACCACTTCTCCATTGTAGCCTTAGTTTCCTTGTTAGTAAGAAAAAAATCTAAAATTCAGAATATATCCATCATTACTACTTGACCTAATCTATAATGGACAAAGGGCTTCCCTGATAGCTCAGCTGGTAAAGAAACTGCCTGCAGTGCAGGAGACCCCAGTTCGATTTCTGGGTTGGGAAGATCCCCTGGAGAAAGGATAGACTACCCACTCCAATATTCATGGACTTCCCTGGTGGCTCAGATGGTAAGAAATCTGTCTGCAATGCAGGAGTCCTGGGTTCGATTACCGGGCTGGGAAGATCTTCTGGAGGAGGGCATGGCAACCCACTCCAGTATTCTTACCTGGACAGAGGAACCTGGAGGGCTACAGTCCACAGGGTCGCAAAGAGTTGGATGTGACTGACGCGACTTAGCACGACACAGCACAGCACAAAAGGGACAAAAAATAGGAAAGAAAGAAAAACCATGCAAAAAAACTTATGTGATTTACTTGTTCTGTGACCTTATCATAAATTCACTTCTCCTTTATGAGCCTCAGCTTACTCTTTTGAAAAGAGGCATTGAAATCTATGGTTTGGGGCTAATTTTGTTTAGTCACTAAGTCATGTCTGACACTGTGACCCCGTGGACTGCAGCACGCCAGGCTTCCCTGTCCTTCACTGTCTCCCACAGTTTGCTCAAATTCATGTCCACTGAAGTGTTGAGGCTATCTAACCTACTCACCCTCTCACCCGCACCCATCTCCTTTTGTATTCAATTTTTCCCAGCATCAGGGTCTTTCCCAACTCTTCACATCAGGTGGCCAAAGTATTGGAACTTCCGAAACTCAGAAGTTAAAAAAATGGTGACTTTATGATAAACAAAATAAAGTTTGCTAGAGTGCATTGATATCTGTGGGTTTTCAGTAAAGTAATAGTTACCTAATTAGATAATGTCAAACCTTAATTTAAACTCACTTCACTGACTAAAGAATCTAATAGATAAGCAGATTTTGCTTGTTTACCAAGAGTTTCAGGCTATAGTAACAAAGACAGACAGAAGTTACCTCTTATTATTACTCCCAGCACCCTCTTTAAGACCTTAGAATGGATCTAAATATTACTTGCTAGTGAATGAAACGAACTATAGTCATATAGCCTGGAAATTCTGGAAAGGAGGACATCATTCCTCACAG